GCACAGAGTAGTAGGGGTTGTCCACAGGGCACTCAAGGTGGTCCTCAATCAGGTCAAGAGGTGAGGTAGACATGACCATATGTATGCTTTATGAGGGAGACCGGAGGTAGAGTCTTCAGATATTTTCATCACAAGTATAATCTTTGTAACTCATCAGCCTACTTATGCATTATTTGATTTGGGTCTACATTTTTCGTATGTATTTGTTATGATATATGTTAGGAGTTATTGTGTGACCCGTTGGCTGTGCCTATGCATGTAGCTACCCAGTAGGTAAGTCTTAGTAGATCGAGTGTATATGTCTTGTGTCATGACCATATTTAGGTATGATTGTTTGGTAGACTTGATTGTGTTAAATATGGTGGATTTTGACTTGATTCTAGGCATCTTGGATTTCTTCTCTTAGATTGTTACTTTGTGCATGCATGGTATTCCTCTGCTTGTATGGACTGGTGTTGATACTCATATGACGAAAGGTGTGACTTCTTTCTTGACGGTGCGAGGGTTGGTGGGGAAGGGGTATCTATCTTATCTTTCTTATGTATATGATACTAGTGTCAACGCTCCTCCTCTTGAGACAGTTCCTTAAGGAGTTTGCTGATGTCTTTCCTACCGATCTGCCCAGTCTTTCTCCTAACCGCGATATTGAATTTGGTGTTGATGTTGAGTCGAGGAAGCAACCAGTTTCTATTCTGCCATACCATATGGATCCAACTTAGTTGAGGGAGCTTAAGGAGCAGCTCTAGAACCTCTTGGGCAAGGGATTCATTAGATCAATTTTTTCTTTTTAGGGTGCTCCTATCTTGTTCGTGATGAAAAAGGATGGTACCTTGCGTATGTACATTGACTACATGCAGATGAACAAGGTGACCATCAAGAACAAGTATCCTATGCCATGGATTGATAATTTGTTTGACTAGCTTCACAGTGCAATAGTGTTTTTAAGATAGATGTGAGGTCACGCTACCACCAGATGAGGATTCGGGTGGCGTACATCACTATGACTACCTTTAGGACTCGGTACAACCATTATGTGTTCTTATTCATGTATTTTGGGTTGACTAATTCCCAGTAGCGTTCAAGGAGTTGTCGAATTGTATGTTCAGGCCCTATTTGGACTCCTTCGTGATAATGTCTATTGATGACATCTTTGTATACTCTGAGATTAGGTAGAAACATGAGCAGCATCTGAGGATTATACTTTATACCTTGCGAGATCAGCGGTTATATGCCAAGTTCACTAAAAGTAAGATTTGTCTTGAGTCTGTAGCATTCTTGGGGAAGGTGATGTCAAGGGATATGATTATGGTGGATCCGGTGAGGGTAGATGCAACTCGTGGTTGGGTTAGGACTACTTCTTCTACCAAGGTTCGTAGTTTTGTTGGGTTAGTAGTCTAATACAAATGGTTTTTGGAGGGATTTTCTTCGATTACGACACCTTTGAATAGATTGACTTAAATGAATATCTCTCTCTAGTGGTCTGATGAGTGTGTGGCAAGCTTTCTGAAGCTCAAGTCCTTGTTTACTTTAGCACTGATTCTTACTCTTCATGTTGAGGGCCATGGGTTTACAGTCTTATGTGATGCTTTCGGTGTTGACGTGGGTTGTGTGTTATGATTCTAGGTAACTAAAGCTTCACGAAAAAACTACCCTGCTTATGACTTAGAGCTAGCGGTGGTAGTCTTCGCATTGAATATTTGGAGGCATTACTTGTATAGATTTCACTACGGAGTATTCACCGATCATTGTAGTCTTCAGTACAATTTCAACTAGAGTGACCTTAATCTGAGACAGTGCATGTGGTTGGAGTTACTGAAGGACAATGACATTTTGGATCTTTATCACCCAGGCAAGCCTAATGTGGTAGCAAATGCCTTGAGCCAAAAGGCAATAAGTGATGAGTGGTAGATTTACACTTATTTGAGGCCTATTTAGTTCAACAATTAGTGTCATAAATGCCTAATAATATTTTGATAATTTACAACTATGAAGGCTAAAGGATAAGGCAAGGATGAATGTTTGAAAGAATGGCCAAAAACATAAAAAGAAGTGTAAACTCCATAATGTTAATCGCCTAACTTGAGGCGGATAGCCCATTGGGTATGACCTCACCCAAGTTGTCACTACACAACAATTGAATTGATTGAGATAGGTCGGCGGACTAAAAGAGGAACGAATTGATAAAGATCATGGGCAAGATAAGAACATGGCCAAAATGATGACTCGACTTGATTTGTTATCCAAGCATGTTATAGGAGGTGGAGTGAAATCGGTGAATGCGGTTGGAACTAGTAGTGGGTAGTTCCCAGAGGATGCCAAATTTGAGGAATTATACAATGAGGAAGTCTAATATTTGGGAAACCAAATGGTGTGTTGGCACCCGAACTACAGAGGACAAGGTGGAAACCAAGGTTGGAACAAATAATGTGATGGTGGTTGGAATGATTGGCGAGATGGAAATTGGAGAGATAGGGAGCATGAAAAGGATAGGTATGTACCTCCCCATGATCGTCCACATCCAAAAAAACAAGCGGGTCCAGAAGTGAACTGAACTGAACTAAGGACAAGCTCTCAAGAATCTTCAACAAGGTTGAAGGATCCGATAAGGTGTTGAAAGAATTGAAAAATGACTTCTCCAGCTTATCTCAAACAGTGACCTCTCATTCGGTGTCTATCAAGAAACTGGAGACTCAAATGTGCCAGAAACCCACCCATCTAAATCCAAGTTAAAATGGAACATTGCTTAGTTAGACCATACCGAATCCCAAGGACAATTGTTGAGAAATTAGGAACTATGTTGTGCCACGATGTTAAACAAGGTGCTTCTTGGGAGGCAACCCAAGTCTTTACTTTTGTTTTATTGCTTTCAATAGTGTGTGTTGTGAGTGTAGGTTGAAAGGAAGTCAAAGTGTTGCGAAGGAAACAATAGGTGATGTCATAACCATAATGGTGATCTGCTGAAGGCATTGTTCAGACTCATTCTTGTCCTGCTTCTGAGTTGGAAATGCTAAAAAGTGTACTTTCAACTTAGACGATCTAATATCCAAAAGGCGATCCACCGACATACACTATACGAAATACATCGAGTTCACTGAGTCAGCCTTCATGTTTGGTATTTATTTAGGCCTCTTCGGTGAGCTTCAGCTCTATTCGGTGATTTGTCGAACACACTCGGCAACGTTAGTCGTAACTACCAAATGTTCCTGGTATTAAAAGGCTAAGAGTCTTTGCATTTTCAATAAGAAAACCCTTGCTAGCTCTGGGGTCTTTTTCTTCCCTTCACTTTCAATAGCATATTTTAGTGTGTGGTTGTCGTTGTGTGTGGTTTTCGAGTGCTTGGAGTGCATTGTATTGCGTGATAAGTCGGCCCAAACCCTTACTCCCTTCATTTGCTAGTGTATACTGCTATTTGAGGTTGGTGTTCGACTCTTATCTTGTAATTTGCACTTAAAATGTTGTTTTACGTATAGGCTTTAGGCCATTTGATGGCTATGGTTAGTTAATTGTGTTGGACAGTGCTATATTATTGATATTGAATTGTGCCCATGAGTTAGATATTTGAGCCTTTGTCTAAAATTGCTAAATTAAGTGTGATGGTTATTTGTTGTAATTAAATGATGAAAAATTTTGGGTCTTGATTGAATTCTATATTGGTGAAGTCTGATTAGACCAGTGTAGACCCAATTTCATGATTTCTCCCAATGCTAGATGGAGTGATGACTTTCTTAAGGGCAAATCATTAATTTGAGAAATACTTTGTAATATTTTGGGGAAATCTAAGTACCCATGGGTAGAAAAGCATGTGGGTCTAATTTAAAGTTGATGAGGAACTAGATGTTGTTGAGTATGTAGGTTTAATCTATGAAAATAGGCATTGGGCTGAACACTACCAGTTCGGTAGGCTTGTCTTAGCTCACCCAGGCGGTTAGGCAAATCGCCGAGTAAGCCCTAGCTCACCTTTTTTAGTGTATATGTGACATGGGGTACTATCCCATTCAGCAGACTTGTCTTAGTCCTCTGAAACCCACTCAGCGTATCGCCAAGTAGTAGTGGGCATCACCCTTTATGTCTTATTGTTTTCATTTTTCACTATCAATTTTGGCGGACTTTTCTAAGCCAACCAAAATAAACTCAGCAAATTGCCGAGTTAGAATTGAATTCCCCCATCATGCCTGAGTTCTTTTATATTTTGCACTATCTAATTCGGTGAGCTAATGTGAGCTCACCTAACCTATTAGGCGAATCGACTTCCATTAGGCGAGCCTCAAAATATTTTTGAACTGTGCTTTCTTTTGATTTTTATTTCAACTAACCTTCACTGATTCTATGTTTGAATAGTTGTGTTTTGCAGATAATGGCTAGAACTAAGAGTAAACAGGTTGTGACTTTGGATAATGAATCTGATAGAGACTTTCCTCCTCCTCAACAGAAAAAGCAAAATGAGATAGTTTGCAAGATTAGGCTCTTCGACACTTGAGAATGAGAAACCTAGCTAGGGGTTGTCAGGAAAACGATGGATATCAGGTCCAAATTGGTACAACCTTTGCAAGATTAGGAACTCATGTCTGGAGTTCTCCCTATAATACCTCCAAGAGCCCTCAATAGGATCAAAGCTGCAAAAGAATGAACGATTTTTGAAGAACGAAAACTCTCAACTGATGGGGTGGTCAGTGATATTAGGCCATTTGGAACATGATCAAGTTCCACTAGTTCAAGAGGTTCACAAAACCTCGACCACCATATGTTCCTACATGGGTATGGAAGTTTTATGCAACTTGCACTAAGGCACTTCCAAAGGAAAGGAAGGACGTGGTGTGGAAGCACTTGGAATAAGTTAAGGTTCGAGGCAAAATGGTATAATGCCCTACATCAACTCCTTCTATGGAGCCGTCATGTATACCTCTGTCTCCTTCAGCTCCCTCCACTTCCACTTCCACATCGACTATTTCTACTACACCTGCCCTATTCCTATTTCTCATCCCTCTGTAGCCTAGGCCATGATGTGTCAAATTAGAAACTATGCCCGATCTACGGATGTGAGGGTGGCGAGGGTTGAGGCTGATTTGCATAAATTGTTAGAGAGATCTATTGAGAGGGATGTAGCTCTTTTGAGAGATAGGTTGACCCAGTGTGAGCCGTTTATTGAATCATATGGTGTGAGGTTGGATAACCTCACTGCTACACTAGAGGTTCGGGCAAAGGCCAAGGGTAGATCGGAGGTGATAGCTACTATGAGGGGTGAGATTGGCACCTTGAGGGCCGATGTAGACCAGTTGAGGTCTACTGATATTTCTATGCTTTGGGGCGAGGTTCCCTTACATGATGTGTCGATGTCTATACCCTCTACTATGCCTAATAGTGAGCGTCTTTTTGATATAGCTGATATTGGAGTTGAGAATAATACGAGAGAGGATGACATGGTCGATGATGATTTGGCTGAGGAGATAAACGAGAATGAGTTGAGGAGAGAGGAGGTTGAGTAGATAGTTGCATTGACACTGACTGAGTTGCAGGATGTTAAGAAGACGATGATTAGTGCGACTTTTGGAGAGATCCCTTGAGGATACCTTCTCCATTGGCATCAGTGGAGTCTCTTTAGATTCCACCATTCCTCCTATTTCTATGCAGGGAAATAATGCCTGAGATGAGGCTACACTGCTGCCTTGTGTGGTCTTATTGCCGGGCATTAATGCCCAGATGATGCCACTCCTCAGAGACTCCTAATGAAACCACTCCACAGGCATAGGCTGTCAGGGGGATCTTTTCAATTTTCCTCCCATACTCTTTTTACTTTTTCATTGAGGACACTACACTTTACTTTTTATTGGGGTGAGGGAATTGGTGCCAATATTCCCCTTTACTTTGTAATTTCTTATTTTCAGTTTTTGGATGATGTAGTATTTTGTTTTTGTTTTTATTATAGTGTTTCGATTGGTTTATCTCACTTGGTATCTTGTGTTTTCTCTAAAATTTTCAATCACCCCATGATTTTAGGAAATCATGAATTGATAATGATTCGAGGATCAATTGTGCTTAATATCAATATATTGAATAATACTCATGATGAGCATGTTGTATAGTGTTTGTGTTGCAAGAAAGAAATCGATGTGGTTGCTCTTTTGAGTGATACTTTTAACATAGAAGGTAAGCTTTTGATCTTTTTGGGTTGTGATAAATGATTGTATTTGAAGTGCCATGTGTGGTGATGTTTTACTTGAAAGCATGTTTGTGGAATCCTAGAATTTTCCTTGTTAGTCTAGTTGTCTAGCCTTGGTAAGTGGGAGGAATAATCTTGGGTAGAAATTTTGAGAGTGAGTCCAAATTTCCATACCCTTGTGTGACTACCTTGTGAGGGTGTGCATCCATTTTGGCACCATTTGAGCTTAAATCATTTATTGACAACTATATTGAAACCACCTGAGCCATATTGTCCCTAACTTCTCACCAAAGATCCTTTTTAAAGCATTGGTATGTTTTAATAGCAAACATAGGCCAGAAGCCTAAGTTGGGGGTGTGGAAAGGAAAGAGGAATGAAAGCCAAGTAAAAGGCAATGGAAAATGAAATGAGACTCAACTTTGATGTTTGTTACAAAAAGAAGGAACCCATCCGTATAAAAAAATTAAAAAAATTGTGTGATGAACAACATTTGAAAAATTGAAATGAAAAGGAGAGTTTGATGAAATAAAAAGAGGATTCAACATAAAGTTATTGACAAATTAAAGTTTGAGTTCTCAAATGAAAATAAATGAAAAGAAGTTGAGAAGAGATGATGGTGATTTCATCAATGCTTTGAAAAGGTGAAGTCACTGAGTCAAATTGACCATACCTTAAACCTCTGCCGCATTAAAAGCCTAAAATACCCTTCAGATCTTGCATGAAAAGCGTGTGTGATGATTGGAAAATATGGACAAACCTATGGGATGAAGCTTCCATGTGTTTCTTTTTTGGGAGAGTGAGAGTTGTAATGATTCCTTACTTCTTTATTGATTTTCTTTGTGAGAGCATGAAATCATTCTTCATGTGACGGCACTTGAATGCATTTGTTGAAACATGGTCTTGCATTAGAAAAGAAGCTATAGTGAGCTTGAGCTTGATTTGATACCGGCTAGTCATTAATTGAAGCTTTTTTTTTTATCATAATTGAGTGTAGCATTTTGTTCAGAGTAGTCTTGTAATGGCACTTGCATGTTAGCTCTCATTGAGAATTGTTGTAGTCACCCTTGTTGAACTATTTGTGTTCTTGATATACTTGAGGACAAGCAAAAGTTTAAGTTGGGGGTGTTAATGAGTGGTAGATTTGCACTCATTTGAGGCCTATTTAGTTAAACAATTATTGTCCTCAATGCCTAATGATGTCCTATTCTAATGATATTTTGATGATTTACAGCTATGAATGCTAAAGGACAAGGAATGGATAAATATTTGAAAAAATGGCCAAAAACATAAAGAGAAGTGTAAACTCCATAGTGTTGGTCACCTAACTTGAAGGGAGGATTGTCCAATGGGTATGACCTCGCCCAAGCTAACAGTGCACAACAATTGAATTAAATGAGACAGTTCGGTGGACTAAAAGAGGAACCATGATTTGCCGAATGCAAAGGGCGAGCAAGGTAAGCATCGCCAAAGGTGACAGTACTTGAAGAAAAAATAAAGGCTTAAAAGGTGAACAAAGGTGGTACTCGGTGATACGCCTAATGTAAAAGGCAGACTCGAACAAGCTTGCCAACTAAGGTTCAAACACCTGAAGCCTAAACAAGAGAAAGGAAAGTTAAGGAGCAGTTGGCGATTCACCTAATAAGATCGGTGAGCCAGACTTACGTTGCCCAATGGGTCAAGTAGTGAGTTTTGGGCTAAAATTTGGGAAACTATAAATATCTCAAAGGAGAGAGAAAAAGAAGGTTCTGAAGGTCAGGAAAATTGTGAGAAAGTTCTGAATAGTTTAGAGAGAGACACTTTTACTTTGTGAAAAGTACTTTTAGTTTTTGGGGTTTTTCAACTTTTGCTCTTGAAATTGATAAATTGAAGTTGATAACATAGTGGGTTTGCTTGTAATTGCTTAATTTCATAATACCTATGGCTTCTTTCATGCAAGGTATATTTTATTTACACTTTGTGATGGGTGGATAAACCCCAAGATTTAGGAGTGCATTTATGGGGTTGAGTGTTGATTTAATGTAGTGGGTATTGTGTTATGCTCTATTTTATTGTTGTTCATACATGGATTTGGGATAATTATCATGTGGTTAACTTATGGGTTAAGTTTGAAACTTAATTCCTACTTCCAATCTTTTATTAATTCTCGGAAGAGATTGATTATAGTTAGTAATTAGTTCGATGCTAGCAATTTAGGTTTGATCTCTGTAACTTGCTTCAAAATAGATGTTATGGGTGGGATCTATTTGCCCTATTTCTGCATCAAAAGAGGAAATATAGTAAGGTATTGGGTTGTTGATTATTGCACATAGATGAGATCGATAGAAGATTCTATGAACTGATGTTATGAAATCGAAAGAAGATTAGTTTCATTGATGATGACCTAGCATATCTATGAATGTTCATCACTGTAGAGCTACACAATTACCCCTATGTGATATCGATTTCCAATCCCCGCACCCTAGATTACTTGTTACTTATTTGATTTTTTAAATTTCTAGTTTAATTGTTACTACTGATAACCAAACCTTTTTCTTAAATTTGGTGGAATCATCCACCCACTTGATCTTACTACTATAAATGAATGACTTTATATTCCAAATTTTTCTTTGCGGTATATCATTCTCCGTGGGATTTGACCTCGACTTTTTATTGGGTACTTTTATTGATGATGCCCACTTACTCTTTTAATTGGTTTTGAATAGTAGTTTGAGCATTATCAGTAATTTTGGGAAGTTTGGGTTTCTTTGCAATGGAGGAGTGACCTTTGGCTTTAGACATTAAGTCCTTAGCCAATTGTATGATTAGACTTGATACTTTTGAGCCAAGGAGAGTGTTTTCTTGAGTAGAGGCTATATCTTTTTTTATCGAGCAGATTTGGGAACAACAGTTTGAGGATCCGAGGCTGAGGGTGATTCGAGATAGGGTGATTAGCAATAAGGATAGAAAACTGACCTTAGACCCTAAGAGTGATTTGAGGATTGAGGGTCCCATGTGTGTTTCTAGGATTCAAGACTTAGTTAGGCTAATTCAAAAAGAGTTCCATTGTTCTTGTTATAATATTCCTTTCGGTGTTGTGAATATGTATCTTGATCTGAGGCAACACTAGTGATGGTGTGGGATTAAGAGAGGCATTGCGACGTTTGTGGATAGGTGATTGAACTATCAACATGTGAGGTATGAGCACTAAAGGCCATGTGGTTTGACTCAGTGTCTACCCATTCTAGATTCGAAGTGAGAACGCATAGTTATAGACTTTGTGGTAGTCTTGCCACATACTCTTCGGATATGTAATGGTATTTCAGTCATTGTTGATCAATTGACCAAGTCTTCTTAGTTCGTGCCGATTCAAACTACCTTTAGTTTATAAAGGTTGGCTCATATTTACATTCGAGAGTCTGTCAGCTTGCATTGAGTGCTGGTGTTTATCATTTCAGATGATGGTACTTAGTTCACTTCACATTTTCTAGAGGTATATTGAGAGAGTTGGGTACCCGAGTTAAGCTCAGTACAAATTTTCATCCTCAGACTGATGACTAGTCTGAGAGGTGAGGACTATTGAGGATTTGTGGACATTCTTATGGCCAGTGTTATTAAATTTAAAGCTCATCGAGACCATATTTTGGCATGAGAAGAGTTTCCATATAATAATAACTATCATTTGAGTATCCATATGGCTCCATTTGAGGCATTATATGGTACGCGGTGTTGATCCCCAGTGGGTTTGTTTGATGATTTTGAGGGTAGGCCATGAGGCACCGACTTGTTGTGTGATTTGATAGATACTATCTGTGCAATCCAAGATCAACTTCTAAATGCCCAAAGTAGGCAGAAAAGCTATGCAGATCAGTGGTTGCGACCTTCATAGTTCATGGTTGGTGACTATAAGTTTTTGTGAGTGTCGCCCAAGAAGTTCTTAATGAGATTAGAGAGGAGGGGAAATCTTAACCTAGGTTCATCGTCCTTTTGAAATTCTATGGCGGATAGGAGAGGTGGCTTATAAGTTAGCCTTACCTCCAGTTTTTTTGGGTGTTCACCTCGTGTTTCATGTCTCTATGTTGAGATGGTATGTTCCAGATAAGTCTCACGTGCTCCAGTGGGATTGAGTCAGCTTTATCAGTTATTGGTATTTAAGGAGAAGCATGTCGCTATTCTAGAAATGAAACGACCCCAAAAATGCCCGAAAATGTGCTTCGAAAACACCTAAAATTGTAATTTCCATATATCTCAAAATCCGTGCATCATTTCGGAAATTCGACTTCATATTCTTATTCAGGGGGTCAAATTGAGTGGGAAATGAGTCTAACCCGAATTTTAGAACAACCGTAT